ATAAAAGTGTTTTGAAACTTAAACACTTTAACCAATTGAAATCACAAATGAACATGTTGATCTGGATATAAACAGATTAAAATAAGCTGAATTAATAAATGAGTTGAATTAAAATTGATCCAAAAATTACTTAAAAATTGAAATGGACTAAAAATGGGTTAAGCCATAATCCGTCCAACTTGACCCTATTTATTTTTTTGAAGAGTTTTTAAAAGTTTATTCAAAATAATGCTCTACATAAAAAATGCTTTAATCAAACAAAAGGTAAACTTTAAGTAAATGTCTTTTGAAACTTAATTAAAATGGACATGTTGTGAAATGAAAATTGGGTCCAAGACTTGGGTCGTCAATGCAAGATAGAAATATTGGCCCAATCCAATTTGCATTAAAAAAAGGAAAAACTTTATCTATACTTTTAAAATATTACATATCTTAACACTAATTAAGAGTTTTCTGTCATATATTGAGAAAAATACACTTGAATACATATATTTTGCTACCAGATACACAAAAATAGAGAAAGAAGCGAGCAAGACAGAAAGAAAGGCGAGCGAAATGAGAGAGAGGCAGTTCATTCCATGCATGATAAATTAAAACATAAAACAACTGTTTGAACTAGTATTAGATGTCCAAAAAATAATTAGCTCATAACATCCAACATTATCTCACGATTTCAATAGTTGTCTCTAGACTCTATTGATGAAAACTGTCCTACGTCGAATTGAAACAAGATTTCAGTACGTTTTATATAACTTGAACAATTCTTTTATTTTTGAGCTAATTTCTTGAGTGTAAATTAGGTCCAAGATTCCTTATGTTAGGATCAAAACAATCAAGACGTCACGCAGAAGCTAACAATTACAAATCATGGCGGCGATAAATCAGGTGATAAAGAAATCATATTAAAAATTCATAAAATTTAATATAGTTTGATTAATTGAGCAAATCTTCAATTTATTGATATCCAAAATTTGTCTTCCAAAATAAATAAAAAATAGCCAAATATGAAAGAAATTATATTTTTATTTTAGAAAAAATAAAAATAATTATGATAATACTTTATTTTTTAATTGATATGACACATGAAGTATGTTTAATGTTTGAAAAATGAAAAAGTTCACAAGTGTTTTCCCAACTTTAATTATTTTCATCCTTGCACCAATTGAATTACCTAATTTTTTGGCTTTTATAGTTAATCATGGAGGACTAATTAAATGTATAGGGAATAAAAGTTTTAAACTTTCACAAATAACATATCTTGCCCGCAATAACTTAGTTAGATTTTTGTCTGCTAAAAATCACAATGTCTTAATCACACTGTTTTGCTTTTGAAATTAGTGGAATCACATCGATCAATTTTGCTCCATTAGTGCGTTAGTTTTTGGTTAATTCTAAGCCAGTACTTTTCTCGTTTTAATTTATGTAATACTATTTGACTTGATATGAAATTAAAATAAATAAATTTGAAACTTATGGACGTAAATAAGTGTGCGACTATAAATTATTTAACTAGAATAAAATTAATAATTTAAAGTTAAATTATCATATATATATATATATATAAAAGAGAACCCTAGGCCCACCTATGTGGCGCCACCGCAAACCAGGATTCCCTTTTAATTTATTTATTTCCAAAACTAGCCTTTCTCTTTCATGAAAAACTGTGACTTTTATGGAAAGTTGCGACTTTAATGAAGAGTTATGACTTTTATGAAAAGTTGTGACTTTTATGAAAGGTTGTGACCTTCCCGAAGGGTTGCAACTTTTCCAAATAGTTGTAACCTTTCCGATAAGGCACAATAAACATTTGTTCACACTATCCTTTGTTGTCTATAAATAGAGAGATTCCTCTCATTCTAAAACAACGAAAATTTTGAACCTCTTCTTATTCTTCTTCTTCACAATTAAATATTCATGTACTTTGCTCCTGTTGAGTGGCTCACTGACACCATTGCTTATGTTACAGATCCTGGTATGTATTTTTACCGTCATTAATTTATGCTTATGTTATTAAGGATAAATGATAAGATGCTATAATTTTAATTTTCCTTTACATTATTAATGTTTGTTACTACGTAATCTTGTATGTAAGATAATATAGTGTTTTAGTTTTAAAGAATTTCCTTTTAATTTATTTATTTCCAAAACTAGCCTTTCTCTTTCATGAAAAACTGTGACTTTTATGGAAAGTTGCGACTTTAATGAAGAGTTATGACTTTTATGAAAAGTTGTGACTTTTATGAAAGGTTGTGAACCTTCCCGAAGGGTTGCAACTTTTCCAAATAGTTGTAACCTTTCCGATAAGGCACAATAAACATTTGTTCACACTATCCTTTGTTGTCTATAAATAGAGAGATTCCTCTCATTCTAAAACAACGAAAATTTTGAACCTCTTCTTATTCTTCTTCTTCACAATTAAATATTCATGTACTTTGCTCCTGTTGAGTGGCTCACTGACACCATTGCTTATGTTACAGATCCTGGTATGTATTTTTACCGTCATTAATTTATGCTTATGTTATTAAGGATAAATGATAAGATGCTATAATTTTAATTTCCTTTACATTATTAATGTTTGTTACTACGTAATCTTGTATGTAAGATAATATAGTGTTTTAGTTTTAATGACTGATAGATTTAAGTATTATTTTATAAATTTCGTGATATTAATATTTGTTACTACGTAATCTTGTATGTAAGATAATATAGTGTTTTAGTTTAATGACTGATAGATTTTAAGTATTATTTATAAATTTCGTGATATTAATATTTGTTACTACGTAATCTTGTATGTAAGATAATATAGTGTTTTAGTTTTAATGACTGATAGATTTAAGTATTATTTTATAAATTTCGTGATATTAAATTCCCGGGTGAAGCACGGATAATTTTACTAGTTATTAAATATAAAAATATGTCATTATTTCTGATGCTGATTAAAAATAGTATCATATAAATCAAGATAAAGAAAATACTTCAAGTTTCTTTGTTACGACTACGGTTTATAACCATGACAAGTTTCTTTGCATTGTTTATTCAAACCTCGTATAATATGATTTTTTCGGAAACTCACGAAGGTCATTTAATTAATATGAGGTTTAATAAACAATGCAAATACAAATGCAACATAAATAAAAAATTTACTTGCATCAGTGTTTATATTGGACCTATTTTGTATATAGATTTTTTAATACAGCTTAATCATGGTGAGCTCAAAGGAATTAAGTAGTACATAGTTATACCTTAAAATCAAAAGTGAACAAATAAAAATGAACGTAGTAGAGCATGAGAAGAGCAAAAGGAGAGGAAGTTAGTACTAGTTTGTTTCATAGAGTGAAATGAACATCCCTATAACATCATTTTTGTAATAGATCAACAAAAGACATGATGGATTAAGTAACAATAATCAGAGGTGGTCCACATTAGATGATTAACTTCATAAATATTTATGTATATAATATATATGAATATATCTAAATACATATAATATATTTACTTGTGCACCCATAATCACAAAATCTGATGTGGTGCACTGGTCCAATGCTTGAGTGTCCGCATCTTCGCTAGCAAAGCGTTCCGGGTTTGTTTCTTGTTAGTATGGTGGTGTTGTCATTTTTTTAGGGTGCGATTCTGAGTATGGTTTTATTGTCATTTTAAAAATAAAATAAAATTGCATGTAAATAAAAACTCAAGCTAGATTCAACTAGCAACCTTAAAGTTTATAAGGTCAAAACCATCAAACCACACATTGAACTATGTTACACATTCGTTTAGTTTATATTTTTTGATACATTTCATTATATACTTGTTTGACAACTTTATATCACACATTGAACTTTGTTACACTTTCGTTTAATTTCTATTTATCGATACATCGATTTTATACTTGTTTCACAATATTTTTTGGCGAAGTGTTGATACTTCAACTAACATGCATCCACGTCTAGTAGTATCCCCGTTGTCTTCAAATTCTGGATTGGATTCGCCTGACTTTAATGTTGGCTCCTACAACAAGCTTAAATCATGAATGAATATAGCAACAAATGCATTCATTTGAGCTTTGGACAAAGACTAGCCAACCTCTAAATCTCCATCCAAATCCTTGGACTTACTAACGGACATTGATCCACCATTGTCAATAGAAACAGACTCTATCTATTCAGACTTTCCCCAACCAAAATCAGTAGTATATAAATCAAACTTCGGAGATCCAGTAACTGAAAACAACCGTTTTATATCTACCGTGTTAAATTCTTTAAACCAGTTATCACAGGCGTCGTGATGGTTACTGAAACCAATGGCTATGCCAAAATTAGGAAAAAGTGTCACTTTAATGGCTAAGACCGGGGCTAATTGGACCCCTGGTGCATCCTTAGGTTCCGCTAATTGAGGAATAAGGGATAAAAATCCTTAGCATTTTGGGGATGGTTACCAATGAGATAATTGAAATCCATAGCAGTCGTCTTAGAAAAGATAACAGATACAAAATCTCCTGTCTTGTAGCGCAACTCAGGATAACCACTAGAGTTTATAAGTGGACAAACAAGGTTTCCAGCTAAGATTGTATAGTGTTTGAGAGCGAGGGAGAGTGAATGTTTAAGAGAAGGAATAATGGTTTGGACGAAATCGGGTTTGGACATAGAGAGGTTGTAGAATAATATTCGTCTGTTACGTCCAAAACTTAACCAGGTATGATCAAAATAGGTAAGACGGAGTGTCAGCTCAGCTGCACTGCAGGGAGGTGGCGCAACTTGGAATTGCTCAATCATTGAAGCCATTGTCGTTTGGTTTATAGATTAATTTGCCTAATAAATCAATATATAGAACAAATAACACCTACCACAGATATAGTCATTTGTTATTATATTGAAATTTTGTGAGTTAATTTTCCAAATTTGTCACACATACACAAACACTTGATCCGTCACACTCTAATCTTGGGTCAAAGGAGGCCTTGAGATGTGATAATACAAACCAAAAAAATAATGAAATAATTTGTTAAAAGTAAAATTTATCATACTATATCATCCATTGCCTTCCTTCCACACAATCCAACAATTCCATAAAATTAAGATTTCATGGATTTGATTGCAAGTATAAATGTGTAATCAAAGTTGTAGTGTTAGACAGAGCCAAAAAAAATGCACAATAGAAAATGTAGATTCTAATTACACACTAATTAACTCTATCTTCTAATTACTTCCCATGTTAACATGAAACTAGTCACTTGGTCAATTAGAATGGTGGATTTCAACCAGGAATACCAAATGGAGGCCCTTCCCTTCTCAATTGTCACACCATTACAACGGATGACTTCTTTTAATTTATGATGATTGTGGAATAACTCGTTATTGAATGGACATTCTTTACCGCATTTTTGCCTTTGTGTACACCTTTTTAGTGCAGACAACACCTGTATTTAAACGAAAAACATAAGAAATAGAGAATATAATTATGCTTATGAGACAACAAGAGATGTTTTTTGAAAGGATTTCCAGGTAAATAAAGAAATTACCTGGAGAACTTTGCTATTTATACATGGAAGAATGGACATGATCCTGGGACAGTAGAGCATTAACTTTATAATGATGGATTCAACGATCCGTATAGGTGCAATGACTATCTCGATATCATTACTTGGAGGAATTACAATTTCTCTTGGATTTTCATAAATAAGGATGTTGTTGGTCTGCAAGAATTTTGTTAATGGCATATAGCTTAAACCAAATTTAACAAGTGATGAATAAATCAAAGACACAAAAAGAATGGAAAGTACCTTGCGGCAAAATATCACTAATATCAAACCTTTAGAATAGTTGATCTTTTGAACAAAGTGATGAATATTTGTGTACCAACTCCTCTCCACTGATCCAAAGTTTGTGCTTGTCAAGAAGAAATTGAGTTGGGATCTTTCCAGGGAAGAAGGATTCATAGACGGGAAGGGCATTTTATCACCATTATAATCAAATTCCAATAAATTTGGAGCTTGAATCGTGACTTTTTCCAGACTCTTCAACCCTACTAAAGTGAATTTCTTGAGTTTTTCACTCTGAATCTCTATATTTTTCAGCTTAAAGCAGAATTTTAGATCCAATTCTGAAATGTTTGGGAACTTGTAGGATACATCTCGAAACTATTGGTCTGTGATGCTGGCACCGGTGAGCTTGAGTGTTTGTAAAGTATTGTAACCATCCAAAACAGCAATTTTGCAAGGACAATCAGTATGCTCGTCATATTCAAAGTATTTAAGATTCGGGGCTTGGAGTATCACACTATCGAATTCGCAGCATACAACAATCAAATTCTCCAGATGTACTGGGCAACAAACTTGCAATTTGTTTATTCCTCTGCACGCAAATAGGGTTAGAGTCCTGATGAACGGGGATCTATGGATAATTCTTTGCAATTGGGCATCAGAAATATGAACATAATACAAATAAAGATCCTCAAGACAACTAAATCTTATGTTAGTGGTGCTAATATCAAATTCAAACTTGCACCTGCGTAACGACAATGTTTTCAGCTTTTTAGCATCATAAATAACATCAGGTAAGCTATATGATCTTAAAAAGGAAGCATAAATCTCCAGCACTCTGACGTTAAGTTTAACTGCCAATTCAATCCAATGATCCAAGTGAGAATCCAATTCTCGATCTTGATACACAAGGATAAATTGTTCAAGATGTAAGTTTTGTTCGACATGGGATTGCAGGGATTGATCAACCAACTTGACATAGTTTTCGAGGGGCATATATATTTTGCCTTGAAATTGATGGAATATGAGATTAGGTCTAGAAGACCAACAATAGTACCATCTCTTGGACAAGATACAACTTCTGGCCGCCTCTTTCACTTCGAGGTTAGTGCGGCATAACATTTGATGAATAATATGCACAGGTAATTCTGATATTCTGTCCTCTCTACAAACTCTTTTCGCCATTTTTTTGTTTTGTTGGTGCCGTCGTATGTCCACTTTTAAGGGTTTTACTTACATGGATGACCAAAAGGCTCCATCATATATTAAGTGAATAGCCACTTTTAACACCTTCTGTCAAATAGTAGCCACTAGTAATATTCAGCCACTCTTTGTAACACTATCTGCAAAACCATTACTAAAATTATTGTTGATCCGTATACGTCTCCACCTCCCAAGAGTGCAAAACAGGGAACTTTCTAGGTTAGTATGCACATGTGCAGTTAGCGAAAAATCGAAGAACTACTATGATAAAATATTAGTACTTCTTCGATTGGAAAGCTAAAAAACCAATCAGAGTGTTTTTTTGGGCTTAATTCATCTTCAGAGAGAAAAATCATGCTATCAGTTAAGCCATATTGTAGATATTCCTGATGATATCCATGTAGTCTGATTGGGTAGTTTAAAAATGCAACAACCTAAAATATTTGATAACCTCATGAATTGACAAAATAGAGTTAAAATCACCAATTATTATCCAAGGACCACTGATTTTGTTACTGATGGTAGCCCTTCTTCCTCGGTATGGTGTTGGGTGAATCGTCAATTGTCAAGGACTAAAGAGTTCACAACTGAGTGTTACTTCCCATTTTTCAATTATAGGACTTGTGTTCGATTTCTTGATTTCCATTGTTTATGAGGCATGGATAGATCATAGATATATATATAGTTTCTACAAGCTTATACCACTCCAATTACGTCTCTCAGGAAGTGTCCAAATACCAAAAGGAAATGCAGGATATAATAGAATTAATTTAGAAAATGAATAAATGTTGACTCAGTGTCGTCGTACTAGCAGGAAATTGATGCATAGGTCTACTGAGAGGTACACTATTCTGATGAGGAGGACTGTTTGTCGACATCAGAGGCAACTCCACCTCCATGCCCATAAGACCCCAATGTCCCCTCTACTGATCCTTCACCTACCACAGATACCTCTAATTCTCAATCAGCCCACACGAGTGCCAAGGACTCGCCACCACCGACCACTCTGCCTCAAAACCTTAAGTCCTATCCAAAAACCCCTGATGGAATATGACTACTCGAGTTAGTCCCTTGGATTATAGAGTAGTAATCTGAAACCGTCTTTTGAAGTTAGTGAAGACTGATGGAAATGCCACACACGTGAGGTCGTGGTTCCTACTCCCTTGAGCAAGAAGGTTTACCACAGTAAATCTCATGTTATCTATTTTACAGTTTTAGTCATTCTTAAGGAACCAGGTACTTAAGTCGAGTAGTTTGTCCTAGTTTGTTTCATACAGTGAAATGAACATTCCTATAACATCATTTTTGTAATAGAACAACAAAAGACATGATGGAGTGTACAGATAAAGAGAAACCAAGGCATGTAATATCCCAAAGGAGCTGTATTTCAGTTGTGCTCATATACATCAAACTAACAGTAAAGCACCAGAGTTTCTACTTAATTATATTTTCTTTTGAGATCCTAACTAGCCTCCAACAAATGAATCATTTAGTTTCACGGACCAAGCACATATTTATGAAATTAACAGACAATACATCCAAATCAAAGCACGTCCGGATGTGCACACAATATTAGTAACCTAGGCAGGACATGGAAATTAAATAGTCCCAAACCATCAGCAGATGACACAATGATTGTAGGTACTAGTCCCAAGAGATTAAACGCTGATGGTTTGTCTTCACGAATAACGTACATGAGTTAAAATTCTGTTCTATTTTATTCAGGAAATGCAGGAAAGAACAATTATTGCTGAAGCTGGGGCGATGATATGATAGGTAATAAATCATACTTCTTCTAAACACACTAATAAACTCTATTTTCTGAATTCCCACTCTTCGGTTTAAGCTTGTTATTTGAAATTATTCACTTGGTCAATTACAAATGTGGATTTCAACCAGAGATACCACATGGAGGCGGCCATCCCCTCCTCAGGTGTCCCAGTACAACTGATGACTTCTTTTAAGTTACGATGCCACTTGGTATCGAATGGACATTCTTTACCACAATTTTGCTTTTGTGTACACCCTTTTAGTGTAGACATCACCTGCATTTAAACAAAAACATAAGACAGAGAATACAAGAGACGTTTTTTGAAAGGATTTCCAGGTAAAGCAAGAAATTACCTGGAGTGCTTTGCTATTTATGCATGGAAGTATAGACTTGATCTTGGGACGATTGATCAATAACGGTCCAATGATCGATTCAATATGCAGCATGGGTGCAATAATGCATATCTCGACTTTGTGACTTGGTGGAATAACAATTTCTCTTGGATTTTCATAGATAAGGATGTTGTTGGTCTGCAAGAATATTGTCAATGGCATAGTTTAAACCAAATTCAACAAGTAATGCATAAATCAAAGACATAAGCACAAAAATAATGTAAAGAATTTGTTTTTCCTGGCGGCAAAATATTATTAATATCAAACCTTTAGAATAGTTGAACTTCTGAACAAGTGATAAAGGTTCGTGTACCAACTGTTGTCCACATTTCCAAAGTTTGTGCTCGGCAAGAAGAAATTAAGTCGGGTTCTTTTTAGGGAAGAAGTATCCATATATGAGAAGGGCATTTTACTGCCGTAAAAATCAAATTCCAATAAATTTGGAGCTTGAATCGTGACTTTTTCCAGACTGTTCAAATCTGATATGGTGAATTTCTTGAGTTTTTCAATCTGAATCTCTATATTTTTCAGCTTATAGCATGATGTTAGATCCAATTGTGAAATGTTTGGGAACTTATAGGATACATCTCGAAATTGTTGGTCTGTGATGCTGGCACCAGTGAGCTCGAGTGTTTGTAAAGTATTGTAACCATCCAAAATAGAAATTTCATGAGGAAGAAGATTATCCTGTTCAGTACGTTCTGTACATCTAAAGCATTGAAGATATGGAGCTTGGACTATCACACTATGGAGTTTGCAATAACTAGCATCGAAATTGTTAGAAAATTAAGATTTGTCTAGAAACTTCTAGATTGGAGATATTTTGTATTAGATATGTTAGAAAAGTAAGATTTGTCTAGAAACTCTTAGGTTGGAGATATTTTGTATTAGATATGTTAGAAAGTAAGAATTGTCTAGAAACTCTAGGTTGGAGATATTTGTAGTAGATATGTTAGTCTTGATTTAAAATGAGTGGTGGTTGGTGAGCCACATAGGTACATAGTTTGGTGTGAGATATTTTGCTTATTATGTGGTTGTAATTCTCACACTTTATCTATAAATACACCATATGTAATGAAACATCTAATTAAAAAAATTGAACTCAAGAAAACTTAAGCTTTCTTCTTCACTTTCAGATTTTTTGTAGCAATATACAGTTGCTATTTCCTATCGTTTACACCTTGTAGACCTGAAGTTCTTCTTCCTTTTCGTTGTAACATGATATCAGAGCCTATTTCCTAAGGGATCTGAATCAATTTTTTTTTGTTTCGCTCATCTACTTTCTGTTCTTTCTTGAATTTGCTTGCTGAAAAAAATTCATGGCACCTGAAAATCAACCAACGACAGGTCCTCTAACTTTTACCTGAGAGAATTATCACATATGGGCCATCAAAATGAAGGCTTATCTAAAGGCTCTAAACTTATGGGAAGTTGTTGAGCTTGGAGAGCCTGTTGTCCAGCCATTGAGAGTTAATGCAACTCTCAATGAAATTAAGAAGTATGATGAGTTGGTGACTAGATCCCCACGAGCTCTCACCTGCATACATTCAAGTCTTACGGACGTGATGTTTACGAGGATTATGACTTGTGAAGCAGCCAAAAAGGCTTGGGATAAGTTAAAGGAGGAATTTGAAGGCAACGGTAGAGTAAAGTCTGTTAGACTCTTAGCATTGAAGAGAGAGTTTGAGCTTTTGAAGATGAAAGACTCAGATAGTGTAAAAGAATACTCTTCAAAGCTGATGGAGATTATGAACTAAATAAGAATACATGGTAAAACCTTTCCAGATCAGAAAGTTGTAGAGAAGATCTTGGTCAGCCTTCCAAACAAGTTTGAATAAAAAATCTTAGCTATTGAAGAGTCTTATGACTTGACTACTCTTACAATAGCCGAACTAATCTCCAAATTGCACGTCCAAGAGCAACGGGTCACTATGAGAAGTGAAGGGATAGTAGAAGATGCCTTTCAAGCAAGGCATAAATTCAAACATCAAAGGAAAGCAGAAACGTCTAGTTGGATAAATCTGGAGAGGTAAAATCTGGTGGAAACCAAGGTGATTTGTCGATAAAAGGAAAATTTCAACCTTGTGGCATTTGTAAGAAGACAAGCCACTTAGAGAAGAATTGTTGGCAAAATTCAAAGAGGTCTCCAATTCAATTTAGATATTGTAAGAAGTATAGTCACATTGAGAAGTATTGTAGGCAAAAGCAAAATCACTGTCACGACCCGATTTCTCAAGTCATGATGGCACCTACTATAACCCACCAGCAGGTAAGCCAACCCGTAACCCGGAACAACAAGTAATGGGTCTGAGGGTAGAAACTAAACAAGAGTAAGCAAATAACAATATAAACATGCGGAAGCAAACCAAAAACATATATACAAATAAAGATCCCTCCCAGAACCTAGAAGTCACTAGTACAGAGCTACTAACAAAACGAGTACAGGTCCCAAAAGTGGACCACAGATACTGGACTGTCTCGAAAGATAAAAGACAAGTCTATATACACAGATGAAGACTGAAATAGTACAAACGCCGTGTGCTCACTCCTGTCTCCGGATCAGACTACACCAACCTGGATCAACGCTGGCCACTGGTACTCGAACCTGCATCACGAAACAGATGCAGAGCGTAGCATGAGTACCAAAACAACAGGTACCCAGTAGGCATCATAGGCCGACTGAACTTGAAAAGTAAAGGCAATATGAAAAGAAGGAATAACACAAACCGAGGGTCAAAAGTGGAAATCTAAGTAACAATGGAATGCACACGAGTGTAGAAAGAACTAACTAAAAGTAATCTATAAGCTAACTACACCTAACTGGGCCCCCATAAGCCCAGAAGGTACACTCGTGCGCAAGTTAAATAAAAACCCGAACGGACCCCCATAAGCCCGACGAGTACACATAATAACTATAACTAAAGAGAATTACATATAAAATTCCAAGAACAGAGAACATCGAACCAGAACCTCAATCCCAATTACTAGAATCTGACAGTACAGAGGCTGGACCTCAAATCGAATGCTCACCAGAAGTACCTAAGTAACCAATCACAAGTATCAAGTATCAAGTATATGAGGCCGGAACTCTAACCGGATGCTCTGTATAGGTATCTGGGCAATAGAGGTCGGAACTCTAGCCGGATGCTCTATATAAGTATCTGGGCAATAGAGGCCGGACCTTAAACCGGATACTCTATACAGGTGCCAATGTAGCTGCTGAAAGAGTCCTAATCGATCCACACTCATAAATGTCCGTGGAACGCCGTCTATACTTAGCCAATCAATGTAAGTCCTTGGAACCAAATCAAAAATCAAATTCAAATCGTGAAGTAGAACTAGTGTAGCCGATGTAACTCCTGAAGCCGTAACATCGGGGAAAATAAGGATAACTATAGTCGGAGAAAGAGTATCGCCTAACTAAGGCCCAAACTATCAGACT